ATGAAATTCAATGGTGAAAAAAGCAAGGTTCTACATTTAGGCAAGAAAAACCAAATGCACAGGTATAGTATAGGGGGTACCTTGCTCAATAGTAGTAACTGTGAGAGGGACCTCGGAGTCCTAGTGGACAATCACCTAAATATGAGCCAGCAGTGTGCTGCAGCTGCCAAAAAGGCCAACACAGTGCTAGGCTGCATTAGCAGAGGGATAAAATCAAGATCACATGAAGTGTTAATACCACTTTACAATGCCTTGGTAAGGCCACACTTGGAATACTGCATCCAGTTTTGGTCACCGCGATGTAAAAAAGATGTTGAGACTCTAGATAAGGATTGAATGCAAACACAATTAAGATATGTATAAGCTAAAAATTATTGATAAATGTAACAAAGATGATTTTACTTAGTTGATAACAATAAGAACTATATTAGCTCAATATGAGATAATAGATATTAAGGGAAAAAGAGACGAAATATCTGATGTTGTAACTTGGAATTTGTGCTAAAGATTTATATATGTTATTGAATTATTGATTACCCAGTCACCACGTTGCTTTTTAAATGTTTAATTTAAAATTAGAAAACTAATAAAATATTATTAAAAAAAGAACAAATGCACATAAAGCCTAATTGAGAAGACAGCAATAGACACCAAATGCCACTTCTGCAAAGAAGCTGAAGAAACAGTGGGTCATCTGATTACCTGCTGCAAGAAGTTTGCATAGACTGACTACAAACAACCGCATGACAAAGTAGCAACAATGATATATTGGAAGATCTGCAAGAAATATCATTTGCTTGGAAGCAAGAACTGGTGGGACCATGAAATAAATGTATAGAAAATGAAGAAGCTAAAGTACTCAGAGACTTTAGAATTCAACAGAAAGCACCTGCCACATAAAACTCCATACTTAACAATTGTCGATAAGAAAGACAAAAAAGTATGTATAGTGAATTTGATAGTACTTGGAGATAGCAGAAGGGAAGAGAAACAACTGGAGAAAATAACAAAATAGGAAGACCCACAAATAGAAATAAATTGACTGTGGCAAACAAAAGTAAAGTTGGTACCAATAGTCATAGGCACTTTTGGTGCAATCCCAAAACAACTGGAGCACCACTTGAACATTATCAACATTGACAAATTCACCATCAGTCATTTGCAAAAAACAGCTTTACTTGCAACAGCTTACTCCTGCAAAGATATCTGTAACACCATCAAACATCCACATCTGCCTATCCAGTCTTTGGGAAGGACTTGATAGGTGGACAAAAATGTCAAATTCAATCTAAACAACTGGCTGACTTTGCGATGAACCATAATAATAATAACAACTTCATAAATGTATTAGTTATTATTGATAAATTCATTAGCATTGACAAATTCGTCGTCAATCAATTGCAAAAGGCAGCTTTGCTCTGAACAGCTTACATCCTGTGATGATACCTCTAATACCATAAAATATCAACATTTGCCTATCCCAGGTACTTGAAAAGGACTCGATAAATAGATAAAAATGCCAAATCCAATTCAAACATCTATGCAACAAATAAATAGTAATACACACATAGAGTGTGTGTGTGTGTGTGTGTGTGTGTGTGTGTGTGTGTGTGTGTGTGTGTGTGTAAAATACAGTTTGGTAGATAAGTTAATCTGCCTTTATTTATTCGATTTATATTCCACCTTATATTAGCACTTCAAGGTAATATACATAGCACTCCCTCCTCTAGTTTTTCCACAACAACCCTCTCAAGTAGGTTGAGATGAGAGTGAATAACTTTTATGAGTTGCCAGTTTCAGTTAAACAACTTTTCCAGTATGCTATATTTTTAAAGCATGAAAAGAATGAGAACAGCTGGATCCAGACTTAAAGTATTAAATCAGTGGAACATGAAATCATAGTTTACTTTCTCTGATTTCAAGAAATCTAGTCTATAGTTTGGTTCTCATATTCAATAAACAATGGTTAAGTCATGGTATAGTATAGCTCAAATCCAACAGAAGTATATCTTATGTCAGTACAAATATGAAATATTCACCAATTACATGAATTAAAAGAGAATGCAGAAAGGCTTTGTTAATTTCAGGCAAATAAGTTATTTCTGTCATTGTGAAAGACAGAACACCACAGTCCTCCCCGACTGTGATGGGTGTATATTTTATAATCTAGGACCTGCAAGACCAGTTGGAAGATATGATGGAAGATGCTGGTGAAATTCAGGAAGCATTAGGTCGTAGTTATGGAACTCCAGAGATAGATGAAGATGACTTGGAGGCAGGTGAGTTACCATTAAACATTGGTATAGTTGTATAGCCAGAGCTTGGTGAGTTCAGTATAGATAATTTAATTTCTGTTTATACATTATTGTCTTGATTATAAGCAAATGGCAGAAAGTGTAAATATAATTTTATATGGAAGTCAATAATGCAGCAAATATAAAAAAATTTGCATTCCCTTCAGTTTCAATTTATTATAGCCATTTGCCAACAAGCAAATGAAAAGAAACAAAGAAAAGACCAAAAAAGTATTACTGTATTTTGCATTCAGCCTTCTGTTTCACTGTGGATCTCCTGCTACATCTTGAAGTTAGATAACCAAACTACAGAATATTGTTTCATTTAAATGCTTGTCTGCAAAAAGGAAGTATTTTTTGTAAAAGCCATATATAAATATAAACAAATATATAAACAGGGGTGACATGATAGCAGTATTCCAGTATTTGAGGGGCTGCCACAAAGAAGAGGGCATCAAACTATTCTCTAAAGCACCGGAGGGCAAGACAAGAAACAATGGTTGGAAACTGACCAAAGAGAGAAGCAAACTGGAATTAAGTGAGGACAATTAACCAGTGGAACAGTTTGCCTTCAGAAATCGTGGGCGCTCCATCACTGGAGATTTTTAAGAAGAGGCTAGACAGTCGCTTGTCGGAAATGGTATAGGTTCTTCTGCTCGAGCAGGGGACTGTACTAGAAGACCTCCAAGGTCCCTTCCAGCTCTGTTCTATTCTAAATACAGTATATTAGCTTTCCAGAAATGCTAGGGCTTTTAATTGCTGTACTGTTTGAATTTAAGTCAACCTCACTCATCTCTAAATTTCACTCATTTATTAGACATTTTCTGTCCTCAACGTAATTTTAGAACTAGAAGCACTGGGTGATGAACTTCTAGCTGATGAAGACAGCTCCTATCTTGATGAAGCTGCAACTGTTCCATCAATTCCAGAGGGAATGCCAACTGAAGTGAAAAATAAAGTGAGTTACTGTTCACTCTCTCACCTCCACTATCACATAGCACATAGTAGTCAATAGAATTTAGAGAGCAATATTCACCAAAACATATTGGTTTTTTTGAAATTGCCCATCCTTTAAGCAACAAACAATAGGCATATTGGAAGTATTTATTTTTATTTTAATTTCATTATTGATCTTTTATTGCTGTGATAATTTGAGAATTTATGCATAGTAGATTAAGGGGTTACAAACACTTGAATAGGGTTTGTTTTCTTAAATTCATATCAAATATAACAATTGGTATAACAATAGTTTATTGACTAAGGCAAAGTGATGAAGTTCACATAATTCTAATCTATAAATCATTTAAAATATAACAAATAAATTCATGTATGACATAGTATAAGGTACTACATGTAATACATTATCTATTTTTTAATTTTTAGATTTGTAAAGCTGTCCAATTCAAACAATTCTGGGTGATGTACTGTGCAAAAAATGAACAATAACAAAACAGAATCCACTAGGTACACTAAATACATATAACATATAAAACAGTGAGTAAGCAACATAATAGAACAGTTAAAAGGGTTGTTAATATCTGTGGGAAAACCCAGGTCTTCATGGTTGCCTAAAGGCAAGAAGTGTTGGGGCCTGCCAAAAATTGTTCTAGAGAACGGTGCAACCACAGAAAAAGCATGCTGCCTTGGTCCTATAAGATGGCAAGAAAAAGAAGAAACCTGAAGCATTCTTCCCTGTGGGAGTATATGAGATGAGCAATTATTCTTGGAAGAAATTATACAGTCCTATGTCATGTTGGAATGGGACAATTGACACTGGCCACATTTCCGCACCCACTTTTCCATGGGCCCTTCACTGCAGCCGACCCACCACTGGCATTTATGCTTGATGGGCCCTCTGCCAGCAGGCTTCCCCTGCAATGGTCCGCCAGAACTCCTTCCTCACCCCGTTGTTTCAGGCGATTCAGTGAGGGACCACGTCACAGCCCCTCCAGCAGCAGCAGTGGCAGCAGCTCAGCAACGGTTGCTCCCCCTGTGGTCAGGCTACATTTGTAGCCACATCCCAGCTCCAGCCTTGCCAACATTCACTGGCCCACATCCTACTTGGGAGGCCCTGAAAAGGAAAAACAAGACCCTGTCATGATTAGAACCTTGGCCTTTGGGCAGGCAGGCAGATGTGTGGCCAGTCTCCTTGGTGATATGGATATTGCGGTGGTCAGGTAAGTGATGTTTGAGTGCCTCCCCTTGCCCCCCCTGCATGCACCCTGGTTGCATTGCTTCAGAAGAGAGATCTCCTGGTGCAGCTGCCAGAGTATCTTGCTGGGTTGCTGCTGTAAGAACTGCAGGCTCTACTCCAGCTCGGGGGCCATCCACCTCAAGGGACATCGGTGGTGGGGGTGAGTGAGGCTCAAGCGGTGCCTGCTCCGCTTCCCTGTGATGCTCCCAGGGCTGTGGCAGCACTTGTATGACTTGGGCTTCCCGCCACTGAGCTACCTGCTGCACTGGCCATGCGTGGGACAAGAGGAGGCTGGCCCTTTGTGCCCAGTGTCCCTAGTCTGGCCGATGCCCCCCTGCCACAAACACCCCCAAGGCATGTAGCCCCTGCTATAATAAAACAGCAAGATGCTCGATCAGCTGCACCAAGAGATTGACCAGCTAAGCGGCACAATCAGGGTCCATGTGGGGGGGTCCATGTGGGGCCACTTGAGCTTTGCTCGCCTGATTGCTGCGGCATCTGCCTGCCTGTCCACCGTGGCCACGTGCAGGTAGAGAAGAGGGGCCGCCTGCACAAGCTCACAAGTGCATCCATAGAGTGCATAAGCAGCCAAAGCATAAAATTTTTATACTATTTAAACACACAAACACACATAATTATATAATAATGTAATCTTGCATTCACACAACTTCAGCAGCATTAAGCAACAGTTATGTATGAAATTCTTCTGTGAGAAAGATGAGCAGTTTCTAAATTTGAAAATAAAACATAACTTTACTATACAAATAAATGTGCATACATACACACACATTCCTTGTATGTTTGTCAGTAAAAACAAAGCTTACATTGTAGCAATTTTTAAAAACAAGTAACTTACCAGGCAGGCTGATAGCCCTGTAGTTGTCAGCATAGGCGTATCTGCTTTGTTCAACTGCCCCATCACCTTATTTGTGATGCTATATTAGTTAGACTGGAAGCATTTTGTAATTTGTGATTGGGTACTTTTTTCAGTCACAGCCCCATTACAGTTCTTAATGATCAGGTTTGGTCTTGTTTGGGGTCAGAATATGATTTGCTCTACCTTCATAACAGAATTCTCCAAACACATGTATTTCACTCCAGCTTAAAACACATTTGATAATCATGTGAGGATTGAAATATTTTAAGCATCCCTACAATATTTGCAGGAATAATTCCCAGGTCATGAATTGATTACTTCCTTTTTCATATGAAAGTCAGCTGAACTTTTTTTTTTTTTTTGGTTATCCTCATATAGGATTTGGGCTTATAACATACCTATTTGTATTGTTAATTTACTAAACATCTTGTTCAATTAACTTCGTAAAACAATCATATCACAGTTAAATATTTAATTTTTATAAGATCTTTTGATGAGTGATCAAAGCTTGACATATGTGGACATAATACTCCACTGTTTGCTAGAGCAGATTATTCTTGATCTAAGTAAGATTATTGCAATATTAATCTCCATTTAAAATGAATTTTCATAGTTTGGGGACAAAGCAACAGTTAATCATAAATTATGTATCTTCATTCTCACAGGATGGGGTACTGGTGGATGAATTTGGACTCCCACAGATTCCTGCAACATAATTATGAAGTTCCAAAGGAATGTTGTTTTTTATATTATACATTTCCAAGCAAAAACAATTGAGGGGGTTGAGTCTATACTTTTGCAATATCACGTAATAACACTATGTTATGAAATAAAGAATGAATGATAATTTTTAGGAAATATTACAGCATTAAAGATTTTTTATTAATGCCCAAGAAATTAACATTACTTTTCTTTCTGATATATTCAGAGTTCTAAAATTTGGTTTTGTTGTGTAAAAGTAGTACATAAAATACAGCTTTTTTGTTATAGATTATTGTGCTTTTGCAGTGTCTTCTAATATGTCTCTGAATCTGTTTCTTTGCAAATTCCTTGATTAAGTAGGTAAGATTATTGGATTTATTCACATCATTGTTTTTATACTAGATCCTTATCCTTATCCTTGCAAGTTCCTCTCAGTATTTTGTCCTAAAGATTCTTCAAAACAGAAATCTCCTGCTGACCTAAAAGAGGTGGTGATGTTACCAACTATCAGCCAGGGTCCAATATTCTGAATTTAGCCAAGGTGGGACTGCAGTTTGAGTAACTATAATGTTATTTGTCTTCATCCATTCCTGCCTAGTAGATAGACAAAATCATTCAGATGGAAATATTATACTGTGAGACACATAAGGCACTGCTATTCATTCATGGGGTGGTGAGTTGGACTTGCAATCTGATTGATCCATTTTCTTTGTGTTACAAGTATGTAATAGTAGGACTTTTTATTTGACATCTTGGGAATTATTGTGCATTTAGTAATATTTCAACTTGCTAGTCTGCTCATTGAATGCAATAAAAATACTGATTCTGATTTCTTTTTGCCTTTTTGCTTTAATATCAATATAAAGTCACTGGAAAGATTGTTTGCACCTTTAAAATTACTGCCCAATATTCTGATGACACTCAGTTGTAAATCTCTTTTTTTGGAGCTTGGGATTTGATATTTCCAGGTTATTAGCTTTAGGGGTGAATGTGGAAGACCTGAATTTGGAAGAATAAATTGAAACCTGTCAAGATGTTATTGATCTGAGGGATTAGATTTTGTTAGGTGGACATGTTCTGGGTACAGTTACCAAAGTGTCCTTCTAATCTAGATGAATGGATATCTACATGACATTGATGGGAAAATGACATGTGTCAAGTACTGACAGAGTTAAGTTCACCCCTACCTAAAGGAGATGGACCTGACTTTAGTGACTTATTTGCAGGCAATACTAAGGCTGAACTATTGCAATATGATCTTTAGCCAACAGTTCTTACTTAAAGCTTGCAGTCTTTCAGATTGGAAATTTTCAGCTGCCTCAGAATGTGGCAACTTAGATGTTGTATATGGCTCCTTTGAGATCCCACATTATCCCAGGCTGATACAATTGCACAGCTTGCTGCTTGCCTTTTGAACCAAATTAAGTAAGTTTGCAACAGTCAGCATGATTATGGGTCCTGCCACAGAAGTGTTTAGCATTAACAACTATTTATGCTTTCTCTAAGACACGGGTCGGCAACCTGCGGCTCCGGAGCCGCATGCGGCTCTTTCAGCCATCTCCTGCGGCTCCCTGTCCTCAGCCACCATGTGCAGTCCGGGGAAAAAAAAGAAGGACTAAAAAAATTCAACCAATCAATTCAAACTTCTCACGAAGTTTGAATTGATTGGTTGAACTTCTTTGGTTTGTGGGACTGCCCACAAACCTCTTTCCTTCTTTGGACTGCACGTGGTGGCAGCGGAGGAAGAGCCAGAAGGATTGCTGGAAAGGCGGCAGAACCAGGGTAAGGAGCCAGTCTCGGGATGCCTCTTCCCTGCCTGGTGGGTCTCCCCTCGCCCTGCTCTGCTGCCGCTTCTGCCTCAGTTGGAGGGGGGTCGCCTTGGGTCTCGGTAGCTTCCCGACTCCGCCCACGCCTTTCGGCCATCTCATGAGTCGAGAGATTCCCCTGCGGCGCCTGCCCAGCCCTTTCCCCACCTTCTGCGTGGCGCCTCTTGGCTGTCCTCCCGCTGCTGCCGCTGCCATGAGACTCTCCGCCGCCCAGCCCCACCTCGGCCCCATCGGTGGCGCCTTCCTCGGCCTGGGCAGCTGCGCCCCATCGCTGCCCGGCCCCACCTCGGCCCAGACTGCCACGGCCCTTTGCCGTCCTCCCCTTGCCGCCACTGCCGCGGGGCTCTCCACCACTCGGCCCCATCGGTGGCGCCTTCCTCTGCCCGGGCAGCCGCACCCCTTCGCCGCCCGGCCCCACCTTGGCCCGGGCAGCCGCGGCCCTTTGCCGTCCTCCCATTGCTGCTGCTGCCACGGGGCTCTCCACCACCCGGCCCCATCGGTGGCGCCTTCATCGGCCCAGGCAGCTGCGCCCCTTTGCCGCCCGGCCCCACCTCAGCCCGGGCAGCCGCGGCCCTTTGCCGTCCTCCCCTTGCCGCCGCTGCCGCGGGGCTCTCCACCACCCGGCCCCATCAGTGGCGCCTTCCTCAGCCCGGGCAGCCGCGCCTGTTCGCTGCCTGGTTGCGGAACTGGGCTGCGGACGCCTGCCGGGGTGCGGAACTGGGCTGCGGACGCCTGCCCAACCAGGTGGAGAGCCTGCGCCTCCCCTTTTCCTGCGGCTGATAGTAGGACGTTAGAGCCGCCAACTCTGGTCTCCACCCGGGCGGGCGGGCGAGCAAAATCTTTTTCGTTCCTTTGCAAAGAGAAGACGCCGGTGGCGCATGGCTGGGGGGGAAGACAGCTCCGGAGGGAGGCAGCCAGAAGCCGGCGGTCCCAGTCCGTCCCTCTTTCCCTGGCCGCAGGAGAAGGGGAAGCGCAGGCTCTCCAGCCGGTTGGGCAGGCATCCGCAGCCCAGTTCCGCACCCCGACGACCAGCTGGACCGGCTTTTGCTGCTTCTTTGCAAATGAACGCAAAAAGTTTCGGGGTTTTGCTCGCCTGCCCGCTCAGGTGGAGAGCCTGCGCCTCCCCTTCTCCTGCGGACGGGGAAAGAGGGCCGGCATCGAGCCTGTCGTGGAGGACTTTTTAGGCCCCGGATACCCCCTCCCCCCCTCCCCCCAGGGCCAGGCACTGCAGCTCCGCAGCAGGAGGGAACCCTCCGGACCTTCGGTTTTCCCGGCTTGCCAATGAGGCTTGCAAACTCGGCTCCTGCCAGGGAAGCAGCACATTTTGGGACAGGCTCTGAGCAATTGCATGCTTCGGGGAAGGAGCACGGAGGCCTGCAAGCAGGCAGACGCTGGGTAGCACGAACTAAGTGGCGAGCAAAACCCCGAAACCTTTTGCGTTCGTTTGCAAAGCAGTGAAAGCCGGTCCAGCTGGTTGTCGGGGTGCGGAACTGGGCTGCGGACACCAGGCCTTGCTCACCGGCAACGCTGGAGCCTCCCACACCAACCAGTAGGTCTTCCGTTGCTGGCTGCATGGCTGCCTCCCTCTGGAGCTGTCTTCCCCCCCCGGCCATGCGCCACCGGCATCTTCTCTTTTCAAAGGAACGCAAAAGGTTTTGGGGTTTTGCTCGCCCGCCCACCCGGGTGGAGACCAGATTTGGCGGCTCTAACATCCTACTATCTTTGGCTGCAATCCTATCCACCTGTTTTGTGCAACCGATTGCAAGCCAAGCGCTGCCTAGTTCTGAATTAATAGCTTGGAGGGGCGCGAAGCCCACTAAACTGCGTGATCCCAATGACAGAGCTGACTTTGCAGGAGCCTCCATCGGATTGGAACTTTCCTGTCCGATTGAGCTTAGTTATGGCAGGGCCGTTCTTAGCGTGGTGTTCACATGTTAGTTAGTGGGGCTGACTAGTTCTCTGGCAAGGGTGCCGCGCTCCGGCCTTCCTCCAAAGCGCTGTCCTCGGAGGGGTAGGCACCACTTTCATCCGGCTCTTTGGCGTGGCCCCAATTCTGCTCCGGGGATACGGGGGTGGAGCGGAGCGGGGCAGCGCTGCCTATCTCAATCACGTGGAGGGCCGTGTAAACACCACCAGATGGCTCCGCAGTTGCCGCCGCCACCGCCGGGGGAGATGAGCAGGCTGTTGCTCCTGCGGTCGCCTTCCCGCCACTATGGAAGATAGCCTGGTCTGCACCTTTGGGGGCCTCAGCCTCCAGCAGGCCTGCCGTGCCCAAGGCAAGCCCCCCTCCCGCTTGCTGCTTCAGCAAAGGGGGGAGAGCAGTCTTTTCTGAGGGGAGGAGAAGCCAGGATGGCAGAGCCGTCCATATCAGAGCTGGACGCGGGCAGGGCCGGTGCATGTGTTGCCTTAGGCTCCACTCTTCAACCAAGTCCCGTTACGTGCGTGCGCCTGCGCACGTGCACACGCACATTTTGCAGCTCCCAGTTTTTTTTTTCTGAGGGAAACGGGTCCAAGTGGCTCTTTCACCATTTTAGGTTGCCGACCCCTGCTCTAAGAGAAGATCAATAGTATAGTATGATCTACTGGAATTGAGAAAAAACTTTTCCATACTTCAGACTCAAAACTTTTTTTTAACTCTTTGAATGTTACAAGCTATTCTCCAAAGCATCTGAAGGCAGGACAAGAAGCAACGGATGGAAACTAACCAAGGAGAGAAGCAACCTAGAACTAAGGAGAAATTTTCTGACAGTTATAACAATTAATCAGTGGAACAACCTGCCTCCAGAAGCTGTGAATGCTCCAACACTGGAAGTTTTTAAGAAGAGACTGGACAGCCATTTGTCTGAAATGGTATAGGCTTTCCTGCCTGAGCAGGGGGTTGGATTAGATGACCTCCAAGGTCCCTTCCAACAATAACAACTTCTTCTTCTTCTTCTTCTTCTTCTTCTTCTTCTTCTTCTTCTTCTTCTTCTTCTTCTTCTTCTTATTATTATTATTATTATTATTATTATTATTATTATTATTATTATTATTATTATTATTATTACTGCTTCAGCTTATTTTGCATTTTTTATCGGTTAAGTTTTAATGTGACTTTATGGAGGTATTATTGTAAATTGTATGGAGTCACTAGAGCAGTGGCCAATATTTAAATTTTATAAATAAATAATATCCCCTAGCACCGTGGTGGCGAACCTACGGCACGCGTGCCACAGGCAGCACGCAGAGCCGTCCCTGTGGGCACGCACGCCATTGCCACAGACAGAAGGACGCAGGGCCGGACTCCTCCCTTCTCCATGCATGTGGAGTCCAGGAACAGCTGCGAGAACTGGGCAGGGTGAGGGAACCTATAAAGAGTTTTGGTGGGAGAGTGAATGAGCAGCCTTTGGAAGCAACCAGGGGTGGGTTTCAAATCATTTAACAACTGGTTCTCTGCCTTGCCTTCCTTCCGTCTTGGTCGGGCTGGGCTGCTCCGGGGTCAGCTGGGGTTGAGGCAGGAGGGTGGGGGTCATCAAGTCCCGGCTGGGGGAGGGCGAGGGTCTGGCTAGGGGGGGCAGGAGGGCAGGACGCTTCCACGGAGGAAAGCCATGCCCCCGCCAGCTAAGCCTCTCATCCACACTGCGGTCACATAGGATTGCATAGAAGGGGCACCGGGCAGGGGCTGGGGGGGGCAGCCGGCAGGGGAGAATCAGCCGCCATCTCCCGCAGTGCAGCCCCATTGGCATGGGCAGACTGCCCTGGGATGGCCAAAAAGGAACCCTTACCTGGTAGCTCTGACAGGAGCAGCGGGTGCTGCTCCTCCTGCTGCTCCGAGCCCCTTGACTGACCAACCACACAAGGAAGTAGGAGGCAGTGGCAATGATCCCTGCATTGCCAAGCCTAGCTGGCAGCAGATCTGGAAGCAAAGCTGTGCCGCCCATGCTCGCGCTGGTGGAGCAGCGGTGGGGGAAGGTGAGCTGTGGCGCACGGCCACCCCCTCCCTGCTGCAACCTCACATCGTCCT